TCATCCGCCAGTTCCTTCAGGACCCGCGGATGGATCTCATCAGGTCCCATGGACTTGTGCACCTTCAAGTTCCTCAGATGTTCCCGAACCTGCTCTTCAAGTACAGTGGGCGGTGGTTCATCCTCACAGTCCCTGCTAGTTCTTTCCACAGCTTGGGTGGTAAGACAAGATGCTTTATCAGTGAAGACTGAGGCAAAAAAGTCATTGAGTACCTCAGCCTTCTCTATGTCCCGGGTAACCAGAGCACCAGTATCCTTCCGGAGGGGGCCTACGTTCTCCTTGGACTTCCTTTTGTCCCCTACATACCTATAGAAGCTTTTCTTATTGCTCTTTATATCCCTTGCCAAATTTAATTCCTTCAGGGCTTTAGCCTTCCTCACTTGATCCCTGGTCACTCGTACAACTTCTCTATATTCCTCCCAGGCTATCTGTCTCCGCTTCCACCCTCTATAGGCTAACCTCTTCATTTTCAGTTGGTCCAGGAGCTCCTTGCTCATCCACGCGGGCTTCCTGGTCTTTTTGGCCGACTTGTTCTTCATCGGGATGCACCTCTGCTGAGCTTGTGAAGGTCCAGATATATCTCATGCCACCCTAAAGCCCAAGTCTGAGCTTACAGACTCAACCCAGCATCCCACACATTCCCACAGGAGACACTATCTCACCTGCTCTTGCTAACGAACTCGTTTCTGCTGCACTCAAAGCGAGAGGTGCTAAAGAGGGGATCGGGCTGCTGAATGTTGCAAAACATTTGCTTAGTCCCCACCGCTGGGAGGTCACACGTCAGCGCTTCACCCAGTTCTAGTAATTTGCCCTTGATCTCCATATAGATCATGAGAACGACATCGAAGTCCAACTTAAGTCCATGACCAATGATGCCGGTAGTTTATCGTCCTAAAACACCCTTGACTTGCAGATAGGATATGGCAACTGTGTCCTGAGGTCAGGATGGAGGTGCCACCACTCGCACCAAAGGCAGCCCAAGAGCTGTTAGCTGCCCTCCCCCTGACCATGTGCTGGAGAGAGCCCTGGCACCAGCAGGCTGAAGGGCTGAAGACTTAAGTGATGGTTTAAGGACTTTGAGGAATTCATACCTGAGCATTTGCATAAGACATCCCTCTAGCCTCGTGTCCCCTACAGGTCTCGCTGCCAACTGCTTCAGAGGAGAGGGATCTCCCTCTGCTTTTCCAAGACATGTCAACCAGCAGCCAAATGCAGAACAAACCCTCCCCTTGTGCTGGAGGGGACCATGAACCCCATGCCAGGGAGCAGTGCCGGTGGGTTCTGAAGGGATGAGGGGGAGTAGAGGTGTTGCCTTCTTCTCCAGGTGCGGCGGCTGGCATGGGTGGCGGAGTCAGACAGGGGACTATCAGGCAACTGGTTGTCCCAGTCAAGGTCCAAGTCTGCAGAGCTGCTTCACATGAGAGGGGGCTTCGTGTCACCCAGAGTGGGGTGCAGGAGGCTGCCGAGCCATACCCCGCTGACCTGGTCCTGCAGCCCCACCTGTGTGAGAGGTCCCACAGCCCCAGGTGATGTAAGGGTCCCACAGCCCCAGCCCAGTGTCAAGGTCCCAAAGCGCCAGGACAGTGTGTGGGGTCCCACATCCCCGCACCAGGACCCACCGAGCTACCAGCTCTGCCATGGTGGGAAGGTGAGGCGAGGCAGCCTGTCGCAGATGACCGCCAACCTCTACCTTGCTAACGTGGTGGCCACCAATAGCCACCTCCTGCTCTTCACCCACCGCATCAGCACTGTCATCAATGTCTCCCTGGAGGCGGTGAACACCCTCTGTCCCAACATTAAGTACCTGTGTGTCCCTGAGATGGACGCCATCACTGCTGTCATCTCCAGCTGCTTTGACTCCATAGCAGCTACTATGTGGGGACACACGGGGGCCAGACGCTGCTGCGGTGTGCTGGTGGGGTGAGCAAGTCTCCACTGCTTGCTTGGCCTATCTCCTGAAGCTCCGTGCCGTGTCCCTGGCAGGCACCCACGCCTGGGTCGAGTCCTGCTGTCCCATCGTACCACCTGACAACACCTTCTGGCAACAGCTCATCTACTACAAGTACAAACTCTTCAACAGGCTCGGAAGAATGATGGGCTCTCTGTCAGGGATGACACCTGATGTTTATGAAAACGGAGTAACGCTGCTGCTCTGAGTACAAACGAGCTGTTGTGACCTCTGGGCAAGAAACCAAAGGAAAGCCAACGGCAGTTCTCCCAGATCCACACCAGAGCACTGAAAATAATCTCATCTAAGAGGGTTGGAACATGAAATCTCTGCCGCGGAAAGTACAGGGGATTAGCGATACAAGCAGTGAGTAATGGTGTTTACTATAAATAAAATCAACAGAGTTTAAGCTCTGCAGTTGGTTTTCACACGCCGTTTTTACTGGGGTCCTGACAGGAACTCGGAAACTGTTGCGTGTTTGGAGAGTGTTGTTTTATTCCAGCACGAACTGTGCTTATGACACAGGACAGAAACTAGTGTGAGTCAGGATATTTGGAGAGTCACCAACGTTTGTTTTTCCTAACTGGGATATGACTTTGGGTTTTGAGACAGCAACCCTCAGTCCAGTCATCTGCTGCATTCTGGAGCAGGCAGGGACAGCGCAGACTCCAGCATTCCTGGTTGGGAGAGACCCAAGGATGTCCTGCTTTCCACTATCTGACCCTTTCTCTTCCCTACCTGATTGCCACAGCCTTTTTTCAGAGGGTGCCTTGGCCTCCCCTGGGAGATCCGTGGTTATTTGGGTGAGCAGCGAGCAGCTGGGAAGTTGAGATGGGAGCAGTGAGAGGAAACCTGCTGTCAGTTTGAATCATAGAATCATAAAATGGTTTGGGTTGGAAGGGACCTCAAAGATCATGTAGTTCCAACCCCCCTGCCATGGGCAGGGAAATCCTCCGCTACACCAGGTTGCTCA